ATATTAAAAGGAGGATTATATATATAGATATTTGGGAATCATAAGGGCTAAGCTTAAAAGAATAAAAGAGTCCTAGAAATAAGCATTATATAATGTCTAGGTTTAGAGCTGTAGAGCTAGGGCTCTAAGCTATGAAAGGAAGATCTAAAAGAATCGTTTTATTATACTATATAGAGAGTATAAGCTAGTGGACGGAAGAGAGCCGTCTATTCCGTTATTATTATCTAGATACTAGAAAGATTAAATTATTTAGTAATCACTAAGATAGTCTTACTTTAACTAAGAATCTAGAGATTTATTAATATATTAAATATATTATTATAAGATTTTATTATATTTGTAAATAAATAGTTTAAGACTATATAAATCTATAATTTGTTTTTATTAATAAACAAATCACTAATAAATTATTTACATTATTTTTATTTATTAAATATATTCGATTTATTAAACTTTTATATATAGATAAATATTAATATAATAGAAAAGTCCAATTATTAAACGTTTAGAATATTTATATTAATTATAATAATATACATTAGGAAAAAACTAGTTAGAAGTAATTACAAAAGATATTAGAAAGAATAAAGTTAGAATTAAGATTTTAGAGATTAAGAGATTTATATATTGCTTATATTATTAGTTAAAAGCTATATTGAATATAATTAGTTTTATTATATATATAAGATATATATATAGAATATAGTTAGTACTAATATTAGTCTGATATATATAAATTTCCTTTTTTTAGAAGCTTCTCTTTCTTAATAATTTTTAAATTAGTCTATAAGCATTGAATCTATTATATAATATAATGTAGACTTATATATAAATATATTACGAAAAAGAAATTGCCGAAAAGTTCTCTCTTAGTATTCTATAGTAACTGAGATATTTCACCTAATATGCAAATGATTAACGATAATTCCTTGATTAATCATACAATATAATATCTAATTTATTCAAAAATATATAACAAAAGTGGAATATCAGACTACTACACTCTATACAGACTAAAATCTAGTATAAGCGACAGCAGCTAGTAACAATGAAAATGGCTTCATTCCACGATCACTGTGCAATTTTTATATAAATATGACAGCCAACTTAGCCAAGTCCTCGTTGTAAAAAAAGAACTCCAGATTTCATCATTCACAAATAAAGAAATTATCCAAACAATGGCTAAGTTACCGGAAATTCCAATTTCATCCATCTGTCGTTCAATAGACACATCAAATATATCCCCTCACTTCTCTCGCTTTCCAGCGGCTATCAACATTGCAAGTGATGAAATCGAAATTACTTTGAGAGATTTAGGGCTTCAAGCTACCGAACCCGAAACACGCGTTCGTTGTCGAGTGCAGATTAGATATACATGTCCATTTGGAGATCCATTTGCAATTTGTCACGCTTCTGCTTTTCCAGAAAGGCTTGCTGTGCTAGGAAGTATAATTGAAATCATGTGGATTCACGATGGTTAGTTTATTTCAAATGCTTATTGGCTAGATACGTCTCATGACTGAACAGGCCTCTGATTATTTGGACAGATGTTACAGAGGAAGTGGAACTTGAAGAAGCAATCCAATATGAAGTCTTAAAGGATGTTATTCGTCTTGATATCGAACCCAAGGATTTTAAAGCCCAGAACCCAAGACAAGTTTTGCTCGCAAACCTTTTGGGAAAAGCCATCCAGATGGATCCAGAAGCAGCACCCTCGATGGTTCAAACTTTAAGGAACTATCTGGAAACTTTCGACCATTGTGATGATGACTTTGACAAAATGAGCAAGTATGTTCCATATCGAATTGGGAATTGTGGATATTGGTAAGTGATTTATTTGCATCGCTTGGATGTATATACCTTGCTAATTAACAAACTTTCAGGATTTTTTCATACTTTATTCGTTGGGGAATGGGAACTTTCTTGACATCAGAGGAATACGATTCAATCCTCGAGTACGACGTCACCATGGGTAATATCTTAGGTTTAACCAACGACTATTTCAGCTGGAATATCGAAAAGGATCAGCCCACAGATCGGATGCGAAATGGAATTAGGGTTTTGATGAAAGAACATAATGTTCCAGCCGAAGTTGCGAGTAAAATTCTACTTGGGATTATTATTGAAGAGGAAAGTAAGGCGGTAAGACTTCGTGAAGAATGTCTGAAGAGTCCTGCATCTAAAGGCATATTGCGCTACATTGAAGCTATTGAATTGTATATTGGAGGAAGTTACTGGCATGCCACTGCTCCAAGATGTCAACGGTTTGAATGATCAACTATTGTACGACCGTAGGAGATTTACTCAGACAAGTATCTGGTAAGTTGCTGAGCGTGGCGCTACCTATATTTAGTGCGAGTAAATCGTGAAATGGTATACAGTATCAGAATTACCAACTTATTTCCTTGAAAGAATCCTATTGCTTCAAAATACTACATAGCATTATTGTCCAACTATAAGATGATCTAAGTAGTAGAGCACTCAGTTTCATGCCAAGGTTTTAGCCTACTTCAGACGGAACAATCAAGCAAATCCACATATGAAACTTATTACTCGCCATCGTTTTCGATATCATACTATATATGCTTCATAGGCTCGCTCATAGCTAGAGGAATGAATTTGCATGCAGCATGCTCTACCCAAGAACGAAGTTGGCGTAATTACTTCTTCTTGGAGCTTGGCAGAGTACTGCACCTGGATAGATGGTTTCTAGAGTCCGGTGCGGGAGGGCATCCATCATTTATGGATCTCCTCCCACAAGCTTAAGCAGCCATTCTTTTCTTATTTTTATGCTAACTAATATAGTAACATTCTGAAGGGGCGGTCGATTCATCAGTTCGAGAATAACATTCTTCAACGGCTATCGCTAAGCTCTGCAGCGGCCCACGTATGTATATATATTCTGAGGTGAGATTTGGACCATTTGATTCTGTTGTTCGGGTGCTTTACTACTGTAAGATTACCATTCGTTACACTAAGGCTTATGCAAATTCATCAAGATCAAGGCATCTATCTATCTGATCGGGAGATCTATTATCTATATAGATACTCGAGTAGACTTTCTCCTGATACTTGTTAGTGGTACTGTATACTGAGTAATTAGCTACCTAAATATTCATTCATGATCGAAATAACCTTCCTTACCGGTAGATTATTATTAGACGAACGATTCCAATTTCCAATTCCCAAGGGATGGGAATCATGAAATTGGTCAAGCAAACCAAACCAAACCAAACCATTCTAGAACAGAACCCATGCGTGAAAGAAGTTTTTGTGATGTGACGATACTAGTACCTGCTAGTACTGTCCTGCCTAGTAGATAAACGATTAATATAGTAAGTAGCAAAATTCATATCGTATAAAGTGTAGTCCCGGACTACGAGTAGATTAGGTAACTTATAAGATCTTACAAAAATATAAAATATCGAATGAAATGACATTCACAGCAATTCGTCGCTTCACTGCCTATGTTATAGGTAAGATTACCTACTCGAGTAGGGCTCGAGCTAAATACTCGAGAGCTAATATTAAACAGAATGTAAGACTTACCTAGGTACTGACGCTCTTCTCTTCTCCTCTCATAGTTTTACCATTAATGATTTATTTCCACATAACCAAACAAACCAACCAAACCAGCCATTCAGTAGAAGGTAGATAAGATAGGTCCTAGAATCCGATACTGTATCTGTCTATCTCCCCCGTCTCCCCCGTCTCCCCTATCTTATCTTATCTCATCTTATACAGTATTGTACATACTCGAGTAGACAGACAGGTCCACCCACCCTTGACTAACAATGCAGAGTCCAGACGGACGCTTTATGAAGAAGAGTCGACTATTACAATTTACGACAAGTAGATGGAAGATGGAAGATGGAAGATTTAGTTATCGATACTAAATATATCTATCTAATAACGAAACGAGTATTGAAACACCTACCTCTCTGCTTTCTTCTTTCTTTTTAAACCTTTATATTTCAAACTACAAACTCGAAACCCTTTTCTCTCTTCCTTCCTCCCTTTCTCTCTTCCTTTTTTCTTTTTTTCTCCCTTCCTCTCTTCCTTCCTTCTTCCTTCTTCCTTCTTCCTTCTTTTCCCTCCTCTCCTCTCCTCTCCTCTTCTTTTCTTCTTCCTCCCTCCCTTTCTTCCTGTAGTATAAACACCAGCATCCGCATCCATACCCAAATCACACACTACACCCACACCCACACGCAAAAAGCTAAAACTCAAAACTCAAAAGCCAACTCCACCTACCTCCCAATTGCAACTACCTTCACTTACCTCCCACCTCCCCCGAGCTCCTACCCCTCTACCTCCCTATCTCGTTCCCTCCTTTCTCCCACCTTTTTACCTACCCCTCTCCCTACCTCCCCCACCTCCCCCATATCCCCCAAATCCCCAAACCATAAAACTTCAAATCTCCAAACCTCCAAAATATCCCATCCATTATCTATCATCCATCCTCACCTCACCTCACCCCATCTACCCCATCACACCCATCACATCCATTCCGTTTATAAACCAAGACATTGCCAAAATTTTGTTTAATTGATATCTACCCACCTACTACCCACCACCTACTACCCACTCGTTACCCCCCTACTATCTACCAAAAAGCCATCTCATCTTACTCGTATAAATATAACAATGCCACGCTTTTCCCCCCATACCAATTACATCCTGCCTGCCTCTTTCCTCTTTCCTCTTTCCTCATCAGATATCGCCTTGCCTTTGTTCATCTTCTTCATCTGAAAGATGATTACTTTTATCTATATCCATCCCCATAGTGCCCAAAAGAAAAGAAAAACGCGTTAAAATACTCGCGATCCATTCCCATGCATAAATAAATCCATCAACGTTCAGAACGTAGAGGGTATTGGCTATACAATCGCAAGCGGCAGTGCAGAGATGAATAGTAGCGCAGAAATGCAAACAGAAAAACAGTATAGACATTTTAGTACATGATCATTTATCATCCTCGTAGTTTCAACCCTGTCGTCTTAACCTCGATTGTTTCCTTCCCTTAATGCCTTTCTTTATCTCTCTCAGCTCTATTTATTCTTGTTTTTTGTTTCAATCATTTCATCCCATTCCCGTTGGTTATCGCATATTCCGATGGACTTTGTGCACCATATGGGCTCTGGGATCCATTGGGTCTCTTCGATCGAAGGGTGAGTGGGAATGGGTACTCATCAGGGTCTTCCTCTTCACTATTGAAATGTTAGCATTAAATCATTTAGTAAATTTCTCCGAAACTTACGGAAGTTTCCAGGCGACATAATCCTCGGTACTGAGTCCCTCACGTCCTTCTTGCAGACTGGCGAAATCGCCAGGTGTCATCATTCCACTGCGGTCTCTTGGAGAACCGGGTACAGAGAATGGTCGAGAGATCTTTTGTTCGACACCTGGGATGAAGTCATCCTCTTCTTCACCGTCAAAAGAAGCAGGGTATGCTCTTCTCAACGCCAATTGTCTTGCCTTGACGTACTCCATTCCCATTCTCTTCCAGTCGAGAAGATCACTCAATCGCTCGGTGCGATTTCTCTGGTTGATACGTTGACGTCTGCTCTTGCCGGCGAAATCAAACATGAAGTTGGTCAATTGATTGACCGAGTCATCGACACCCTTCATTCTCCTGTCGACAATGTAGATACCGTAATCTGTCGAGTTTTCGATCAGTTCCTCCATGTAACAACCGAAACCTGACAAGTTGGTTGTAATACTTGGTACACCCATGACTGTGCACTCTGCTGGTGTATAACCCCATGGCTCATAGTATGACGGGAACACACCCAAATGTGTACCTCTCACGAACTCATCGTAATCCATTGGCAGGACTGGGTTGGCAGAGTTCAAGAACTCTGGATGGAAGACAATCTTGACCCGATCCGAAGGATGGTTGAACAATTGGACTCTTCGAATCTGGTTGAGAATTGGATCCTCGGCGTCGCTTGCCATGTTGTGAGTAACGATAGGAGGAAGGCCATGTCTCTTCATAGCAAATAATCGTCTGCGGAGAAGAATGCGGTCTTGACTTGTGATCAAATCCTTCTCATCAGGCATTACTTCACCCTCATGCCATTTGAGAGCACGCTCGAAAATCCTCTTTCCAACTCCACGTTCAATGACATCAACAGTGTCACGTAATGACTTGATTACAGCCTGTCCCTTCAAAGCCTCAACAGTCAATGACTGAGTTTTGGCAGGCATAATGACGAAAGCCACAACAGTCATCTTCGACCCGGAGGACTTCAGACGGTGGTTCAGACGAGCCAAAGACTCTATGAACATGTCACATCCCTTATTCCTGTATTCATATCGTCCCGCAGTGAAGAAATAGAGTGTGTGTTCTGGGTCAAAGTCATTGTGTCCATAGAAATGACCTCTAACAAAGTCGTGGATCTTCTCCTTTGCCTGTTGATGCAAATTCTGGAATTCGTGCATGGCGGAGAATTTGGTAACATTAAGACCGTTGGGAAGGACACCATCTGGTTTTCTCTTCAATAAATGCTCACTTTCGTAGGCGGTGATATGCGAAACTGTGGTAAAGACATCGCAAGAATGTGCAGAAGCACGTTCTATGCAATATCTGTGGTAGATACCACGCTTCCCTGCCTCGGCATCCACATCAAACCATTGTAAGTTATTGTAGAAATCGACTGAACCGGCGCAAAGATACCTTCCCAATAAAGTCGCATGGGTGGTGAAAATTGTGGTAACATCGATACGGCGTTTCTTACATAGAGGGAGTGCGACACCGGAGAGCCATTCATGGAAATGTGCGATTACGGCCTTTTCTTTCTCGTGAGCGACAAACTAAAGAAATGTTAGCTTTAGAAAACTTTATGCAAGATGCAATGCAGTGTACTAACCTCTCCCAAGAACCATGCAACCAAGTAACCGAAAACAACTGCTTCGTTGGTTTCATCGTCACCAGGCGGAGATGGAATTCCTGCAGTATTCCACAGGTCTGCCTTCCATTCGTCGAGAAATCTGTAGGCACTTTTGGTGTCGATCAAGAGAACTCGTGGGGCACCCTCAATCAACCAACGACCATACACCATCTGAATTCCTCTTTCTTCCATAGCCTCTATCGTTGCAGCGAGATGGGGATTCGTCGGGGTCAAGGCTTCAACTTCAACTGCGGCCTATTGAATATTAGCTATGCTCATAGTTCATTTTCCGGTGAAGAAACATACAGATTGCCTGTTGAGAGGGCCGATAAGAGTGTATCGGTCTCCATATTCTGCGGTTGTGACGGGTGCCTTTGATTTAATGACGGAGTAGATACCACCAACTAAAAAATAAAATATCAGTATGTTATTGTTCAAATTGTCAGGAATGAAGGGTTATTGCTTACCTCGATTAGCAACCTCCGTAGCTATCTCAAAAAGGAAGTGATTTTTGATGTCTCGGTTTGTTCCCGACATTTTGAATCAGGTTGCGACAGTTATCGCTGTGTGTTGCGGAAATCTTTAAGTGGGGGTTGATGGGAGACTGCAGGTTGCAGTTGTAAACAGTTAGAGACTCAAATCTTAGGATCCAAAAAGTATCTTAGTTAAGAAGCAGTACCGGTATGTATATGTATAGAATTACCACTACAAGTAATAACTGTTGGTTATTTCTCCTTGAATTCTGATTATGTGTGGTGTTGTTCTTGGTTGAAAGTTGAGGATGATGGGGGGAAAGAAGGTCGGTGCTCCTCTGACGAAATTTATGGGTTTGTGGGAATATAGAAAACTAGAAGATCCTTTCCCCACAACTGACGTTAGCGCGACCGTATTGTCAAATCTGTCACTTCTGGTGTCACTCTGGATTTGTACGAATGACCTCTGCTGCCGTATAATAAGTCCTAGGAGAATTCAAATTGAGGGTCCTTCTCCATATATATACTCAATTTGAGGTGAATTATCGGGCATTGATTGTAAATGTGAAAATACTTACAAGGTTATTCAATTGGTCCCCACCAGTTCTTGAGATGGTTAACAATCAATCAAATAGGTGAATAATTCCGTGATTAATATACAAAGTGAAAGGTACCGTATATCAAATTGGGAGAGAAGATGAACAAATTGAATAAATTGTTGGATCCCTCATCCCTCGAGATATCTCACCAGTTTTGTGTTCGAATTTCAAAAAATACGAAAGGTTGGTCCAGATGTTAGATCGGGTCCAAGCTTTTCCATTTCCAGCTATAAAGCTAAACTATATACGGTACTACTATGGAGTAAATACATGGATCTAGATAAAATGAAGAATTATCATTGGTTACATCCCCGCCAATTTAGTAAATTGGGGGGAAACCGGAGGGGCGCTTCAACTTTGATTTGTTGTTTAAGATAAAATCAAACCCTTGTTAATCATGACGCAGCCGGACTTTAATACTGCAAGCAAATTTTGGAAAAGCTCTTGCTGTTTGTCTGTAATCTGTCATCGCTCCTGCAAACAATTTTTCAGTCTCATCACGATGAGCATCAATAATGACAAAAGAGGTAAATCAAAGGTAATAAGAAGTTTAAGTGATCATCAAAAAAACATAGCTAGGCGTTAGGTAGTCAATCACAACCGGTCAAAACCATCAATCAAAAACCGGTTCAATCTGAGCCTATGGGATTTTAGTTTTCACTACCCAGGTAACCAAATTCATTTTTTCATTCTTAGCAAACCCATCAGGTACCGGTACAGTAGTACTAATTAGTAGCTTGCGATTTCATGCGAGTGATCACTTATGAGCAACGTACAGTACCTAGGTAGGTAGGATTAAGAAACTTTTTCTTACCCATCTACCTACTAGATACATAGATGCATACACACGCACCACACACACAACAATGCTGAATGGAAGTCCATCAAATCGACATTCTCAATTCTCAATTTATTTCCCACAACCCGATGATCGTACTGTACAGTGTACAGCAAGTAAAGTACACAATTCAATTACTAGAAAATCCCAAAATCAAACGCACAATCAACTTGCGCAATCCCAATCGCCCACTTCAACGAAACCATCCCATCCCATCCCACTCCATCCCACTTCTCCAAAAATCTCCAGTCTCCAGATTTATCCAATCCCCTCCTCTCCATCGATGATCCTTTCAACCAAGATCCGCTTTACTTTCGGTCACACTCATTTTCAACAATCTCCGCGTTTCTAGTTTCTTTATGATCCAGTTTCTTATGATCCACCTTCCGAATTTATCCACTTTCCGAATATCCATACATTTTCCATATTTCCATAAACCCCGGACCGGTTATGCATCTAACCGTTCCTAACCGCTTGTTCACAGCCACATTCACAATTATAGGTAGTCAGTCACATGATTGATACCTTCGATTTCATTTGCTAGGTACCTACAAGTAGTTATCTATACCGGTAGTTTTCATTCAGTCTTTGTCTTTGGCCTTAAGTTAAGGTCGTCCCTCGATCTATTTAATCTGATCTCTTTAATCAAGGCCATAGCTTTTAATAAAGTTTCATCGGCCCATCCCGCAATGTTTGATAAGAATGGAGATGGATGTTATTTCATATAGTACCGGTACGTACAGGACCGGCCACTCACCACTTTCATCACAACCACAACTTTTTCAGCCCAACGACAAGCCCCAGCAAGCTTAGGCGCTACTCGTTTAGAACAAACAACGCAAAATCAACGAGAAAGAAACAGGACAAAATATCCCTTCACTCACTCCATCAACAAACTTTAAAATTCAAAAATTCTCCGAGTCATCCGAGTCATCCTTGTTTGAACTTTTCATCTAATACTTGTAGTTTACCATCATAGGGTACGTGCTGGTTTATTTGAGTTGCGGACTCACTGGCGGCATGAGTATAATAATAAGCTTAATAAGCTTTGACAACTGCTAAGTGCCTGCCTTTATCAGGAAAGAAAAGGTTATCTAGGTATCTATTACAAAAATATGCAACAAAGATGGCATATATAATAGTGTCTCCCTTACCTAGGCTACCTTTAACCAATCGCTTCTATTATATGCAATTTTCGTTGTTCAAGATATAGTACCGGGTATCTACTTGATTCAAATCAATTATAATTCTATCTATCTAAATATTATCAGCGATATAGATATACTCACTTACTTATATCTTTATTTTAAACTAGATAATGTTTATACGAGTTATAAGTAGTATAAATACTATTATAAAATTAGTAAATCAGAGATCTCGAGATAATCAAGTAATTATATTTAATAATACTTGTTAGAAAGTTATAGATACTACGAGTATTACAGCACTACCCCTCTTCTATATTCACTACTAGTATACATTTTGTTTACTTATACATTCAATAATATAGTTTAGATTCTGTATCTGAATATAATCTATATATACTTCTGATAGGTTATAAAGCCTATATTGTTGATATCTTTATACAACTTGTAATATCGATTAACTTAATTTAAAATAAGATCTTTATTTGCCTTCTTTATTCTCTTTATTCGTATATTCTTTAGCCAGACTGATCAATATAACACTATCAAAATCTACTAATACTTCAATTATAACTAATACAAAATGGGGTATTATTATTATCTTTAACGGTGATAACTAGAATGAGTTCTATGAATCATATCTAGATGCATTAGCTACTATTAATGTTCTAACTATTATTCAAGGAAATGAAAAAGAACTAATTAACCTTCTCGATATATCTCATATCACAGATCTTTGTATTTATAAGAAGAAACACAGAAATGCCATCTCTATTATCAATTCTATAATCAACTTTGTTTATTGCTCTGCTCTTGTTCCTTTTTTAATAATATATAATATTATTAGTATATAGAATAAATTGATAAAGTATAATTATATAATTCATTTTTAATATATTATTG